CCGCCGCCGCCGCCGCGCACGCGCGCTACCCGCCGCGCCGAGGCGTGAGGGTGAGGGCGGGGCCGAGCTCGGGGAGGCTCCGTGGGATTGGTCGCCAAGGCGAGGGCGGCCAATCCGAGCTGGGCGCGCAGCCAATGAGCGCCGCGGGCTTCATCCGTGGGCATGTGGCGAGCGGGGGTGGGTGGGGGGGTGAGTGCTCTTGTTGCCCAGACAGAAGCTAGCGCTTCACCTGCCGAGGTTCTGGTTTTCTCTGATTAAATAAAACTCCCCAATTTTGGGGTTAACCAAAATCCATATATATAGTGGTGTTTCATTTTGATCATGGAAAAATAGATTATATATATAGTTTATATATGGTTTACATATTTTTTTTTGTTATATATATAAACTGTGTATTAGCGGTGTTTCAATTTAAGCCTGGAAAAATGTGAATTTTGGGTTAACCCGAAAATTGGGGATTTTTTTTCTTTTTTAATCGGAGGGAACCAGGATCCCTGCCGCATCTCGCAGCTCCTGAGGCAGCTGAGCGCTCCCAAACCCACAGGCACTGGCTGCGCCACTCCGGCTGCGGGAGCCTTGGAAGCAGCCCTGGCGTGTCCCCCCTTGGACAGCCTTGCCCTGATTACAGTTCAAGCACTTCAGAGGGGAAGGCTGGTGCAGGCAGGCTCGTGAGCAAGGGCTAAGAGCTAGACGGCCTAGCTTGACTTCAATGAACTTCTGGGTGTTCACCTGAGATCAAGTCACCTGTTTGCAGTCCTCCAGTATCCCAGGAGGCACTGCTCCCAGGTGGGCTAGCTATCATCCAGCCCTGGACTGACACCTGGAAAAAGGTAGGTGGTGATGGGGTGAGTAGGGAGGGAAGGAACAGGGGCAAAGGGGGATAGGAGAGTGAGGGGAAGGGCAGGATTGCAGAGGAAAGAGGAGAGTGGGTGGTGGATAAGAGACTGCCAAGCTCCTGCCCTCTCTGCCACACAAATCATTCTCCTGCCCACCCATTGCCCCCTCTGCTGCTCTGCCACCCCAATCAACCTGAGAGTGGCAGAGGTACCAATGGAGGGGTTCCCCCACCCTGCCTTCACCTGGGGCCCTGCAGATCATGCTGCCCCTGCAAGCCCTGGTCCAGGCCCTGCAACTGAAGGGGAAGCATGGCAAAAGCATATGAGGGGGGCAAGGAGGTGCCAGGCTGCTGCAAGGCCCAGTAGGGGCTGGATATGAGTGTACTCCCAGGGTGTACAGGCTGCAGGGAGCCCAGGAGTAGTCAGGGAAGGAGAATATCCCCCTGCTGTTGCTCTCAAGCTCACGGGGGTGGCAGGGCAGTGATCCCAGGGTGGAGGGGCCAGTCAGGAGGTAGGAGGAGCAACTGCAGGGTGGAGGGAGGAATCCAAGAGCTGATGGGGGGCAATGGGGCAATTTGGGGGATGGAAAGGGCGATCCAAGCAGCATGGGGGCCCCTCCCACCTCTCTTTCTTGGCCTACGCTGTAGCTAGCGAGAAAGCCCATGAACAGGCATAGAGTATGCTTGAAGCCCCTAGCCATGCTCCTGCTTGCCAGCCCTCTAGCAACAGGTCTGAGCAGTGCTCAGGAGAGGGGGTATTAGCCCTAAGTGTGTGACTGATCATTAACACAAATTACCCTTAACGCAGACTAAGGTTCCTTAGAATTAGTAGCTGCTCAGGCCTTCCTTGGGGCTCGAACTTTCATCAAACTTCCTCCATGAGATCTTTGACACCCTTGGCAATGAATTAGGATGCTGGCTGTGATATCACTTAATTGAAACTATGAATTATGAAACGGTGTCTAAAACCACTCATGTAAGAGCTTGCAAGGTTAGAACTTTTTTTGGTCCCTGCACCACTTTTAAAAAGTCTTTCAGGGTATGTAGGTGATATCTAAGGGCCTTGTTACCCATTAATATTGGATAGCTCCCGGATCTCTTAACCCATGGATCGCTTGCCTGTTAACACATTTAAGTGGGTTTAAGCACTTGTTATAGGAGCTCAAAGTTATACCACTCCAGGGCAGGATTATCTCCTGATCTGCACAACCCAGCACCTGTTTCATTAAGGTGTGGCCACTCCCCACAGATGTGCCACTCAAGTTGAAGATGTGCCTGCAAACTAGCACTAAGTGGAAGTGGATCAACATTTGTTAACATGTAACAAAGGCCCTGTCACATTTCCTTTAGTCCTGCATTAAAGGTTTGAATCAGTAATGATGAACCAAATGACCCAATATTTAGCTTCTCTGGGCATTTTACATGTGCTCTGGGACACGATACCAGGCACTAATTAGCAAGCCACGCTAATTAAATGTGCCTGCGTGTCACGTGTATCAGCATTCCAGTGTGTCCTCACGCTGAAAAAATGGCAGCAGGGTGCTTTAAACTAAAGCTCATTGAAGATGTTTTATTTCAAAGTGCCCCACCACCATTTTTTCAGTGCGGAGACACGTGGGGACACTGATGCACGTGACGTGGAAGGCTGCCAGAGCGCGTCAATTTCTGTGCTCCAGCAGACTCGATTAATCAAGTCTGCTCCAATGCACTGGATTTCCTATGAAAATTAACATAGGTAGCCTGTTCCAAAGCTTGATTATCCTCAAGGCCCTGCCATGCATGCAAATTCAAGCTGGCTAGAAACCAGCTATAAAGCTGTTACCTGTTTTCAGGCACTAACTTTGTAGTTGGTTGGCCCTTTTTATAGCAGGATGGACACTTTTATGGCATGATAATTACTTTGCGTATGTGGCCAGTTTAACTTTATTGCATGATTAACCAATTAAATGTGTAATATATGTAATGTATGGAAGCAGCCTCATAGTCAGAAAGTTCTTCCTATTCTCCAACCCGAATTTCCTCCACTTCAGCTTGAAGCTATTGCTCCAAGTTCTGTCCTCTACAGCCACAGAGAAAAATCTATCTTCAACTTTTTTTAAATTTAGTTATTTGAAGACTCTTATCAAATCCCCCTTAATTTTCTTTTCTCCAGACTAAATAATCCTAGTTCTTTCATCATCTCCTCATAAATCATATATCCCAGGCCTCCAGTCATTCTTGTAAGTCTCTGTTGGACTCTTTCCACTCTGTTCACATCTTTCTTAAAGTGTGGGACCCAAAACTGCACACAATGCTCCGGGTGAGGCCAATTGTTAGTCATCTTCTATCTGAAGGCAAGATAAATAGCACCCTCAGCTTCTGCTGAAGTCAAGCAGCTGTAGGTGTTTTGTATCTTACAGTAAAGAGTCATGAGAATGGTTGGCAGGCCTCAGTACAATACAAAGGAGATTTTTAAAAGTATATTAAGAACCAAAGAAATCATAGAAGTGCTTCAGGCCCATTACTCTCTGGAGGTGGTAAAATCATTAGCAATAATGCAGGGGAAAATAATGTTCAGTAAATAGTTCTGTTTTGCATTGGGAAAACATACAGAATGATTGTATCACATAGGGATGATGACCTATTTTCCAGTTCATTTGTAATCAAGGAGGATATTAAATAATATCTACCAGGAATAAACATTTTAAATCAACAGGCCCAGTTAATTTGCACCAAAGTGTTTTAGAGTCACTTACTTATGAGATCTCTGGAGAGCGGACATTGATTTTTAATAAATCTTAGAATGCCAGCAACTTCCAGAAAACAGCATGAGATAACTGATACCACTGCCTGTCAAGCTAATGTTGTCTTATCAGTTCTTTTCACTTCCCTGTCCTGCTGCCCCAATTCCTCTGTTTATATGTCCATATAAATAAGAATAAGCATACTTATATGGTACTACATTTCAAAATGGACAAGCACGATGAGCTTTAGACAAGTTTCTGGAGAAAATAATGAAAAGGCTGATACGGGATTCAATTATTAAAGAATTAAAGGTTAAAACTGTTACCCAGTAATCATGGTTTTGTGGTAAATGGGTAACTTAATTTCATTTTCTGAAGAGGTGATAATTTTGGTGGATGACAGTATCTGCACAGATAGAATAGATTTCCAGAAGGTGTTTTTTCTTAATGCAGCATGACATTCTGACTAAAGTAGCTTTATACAATAGTGATAAAAATTAAGAACTAGCTAAATGTTAAATCTCAAAAAGTCAGTCTATAAGGAAAATGAGTGAGGTTCTTGTTAGTGATCAATATCACTATATCAGTGGGGGTCAATATTAGGTTTGATGCTCTTCAGCACCTTAATCAGTGGTCTAAAAGTAAATCTAACATTTCCTGTTATAAAATCTGCAGATGACACAAATTGGCAAAGTGGTAAATCGAGACAGGGATATAACACTTGACAGTATAATCTGAATCAGTCTGTAATTCTGGCCCATTCAAATAAAGTGTGTTTAAATACAACCAAATGTAAAATTACATACCAAAGAACAAAGAACACAGACTACCCAGTGACTTGGAAGAGTTTTTAGGGTTTTAGCAGATGGGCAACTCAACATGAGTTCCCAGTGCGATGCTGTGGCTTGAATGTATAAACAAGATAGGAGGAAGGTAATTTTCCTTTTGATTATGGTACTGATGAGAGTGATATTAGAATGCTGCATACAGTTCTAGTATTCACATTATGAAAGGAAGTTGGAAACTTGGAAAAGGATGCAGAAAAGTGCTACAGAAATTACGGGCAAGAGAAAATGCCTTACCGTAAAATATTTAAAAGCTCAATCCATTTAGCTTACCTCTGGACTGTCCAGCTTCCTGCCCTAACTTACCTAAAAGAATACCTTCCTGGGGAGACATACTGGGTACTAAAGGGCTCCTTAATCTTGTGGA